CAGACCCTGTTTTTTTCCTTCAAGTGAAAAGACAGACTGTCAATTAGATCTTAAACTACTCCAGCAGTAGGAACGCATGGATTATTTTTTTTGCTATGCACTAATCAGTTGAATGTCTTTTAAAAAAAATTAAAAAATTGTGTGATAAGATAGGTGCATAGTATGAACCATATTGCTTGCAGAAGTATATGATTTTTAGTGCTTAAAGTGCTCGTTTTTATCTTCTGGTACACATGCAATTTCTAGCTAATAGCTGGAAGAGAAATGAGGATGTGCGAAGGCATTTTGGTTTCTTGTGAGTTTGTAGTAAAACCCTAACATGCAAAAACTAAAATAATCCCTTCACCTTTGTTTCATCTGAGGAGACCAGAGCATTTTAGTGGGCCTGTTTGGCTGAGGGCATGAAACACTGACAGGCTGGCAGCTCTGTCTCCAGCTCATCAGGTATGTTTCGGTTGATAGAGAGGTAAGCTGTAGTTCTTGGGAGGTGTTTTTGGTGTTTTGTTAACCTCCTTGCTAATATTAATCCCACTTTTATATGTGATTTCCTAATATCCCATGTTGTTATGATCTTTGCCAAAGTCTATTGCCCTTACCAGTGGCCCACAGCAAAATGGAGCCCTCATCTTCCTTTAGGGTTTCTATGATATTATAGTTATCTAATAATAATCAGCCAACTGCATGTTTTGGTGTCCATACTTTTATTTCTCTGAATGAGAAAATCTTACTCTATCACATGCCTAGCTACCAGTTTAGTGTAACTTGCTTTTGGTGTCTAATGGAGGGCTTGTGACTGAATGAGAGGTAATAATTTTGTACATTAATTTAGAGAGCATGTTCTGCTTGTAAGGGACAAGATAGAAGATAATAGGAAAAGCATCGAAGACTTTTGAAGACTTTTGTCCATGGAAGACAAGGGAAGTTATCAGTGATTTAAAGAAGTGTCAGATTGGGGCCTAAAACCAGAGGAGATCTGTAAGTACAGAAGAGCTAAGCTGTAAGATTGGGGCTATAAAAGTTGTTCTGACACAGTTAAGGAAGATAAAGGCACCAGAAGAAGAGATGATGTGGTGCAAATTAAATGTTTTGGGGGCTCTTTTGGCACTGGTTTGTTTAAATAGGTTTAGGGTAAGCTTGAGATGAAGACAAGATCCTTGACAGCCTACAAAGGCAAAGCCAGATCTTGAAGATACTTTGGCAGAAATTGGACTGATCTAGACAGTATGCAGCGTAAGTAAATAGATGATAGATGTAAGCAATCTTCATCAGTTCATTTAATCACACAGATAAGCCTGGTATCAAAACAGGTATCCGAAACTAAATTTGTTTGCTTATCCTGGTCTCTAAGGCATCATCTGTCTATGCTTCAATTAAAAACAGAGGTCCTTTGAAAGTATGGATTGCTGCTTTATTTATCTCACTGTCTGACACCTAGCACAACAGAATCTAGCTCTGAGTTGAGATTTTATACCAAAGTAGGTGCTGAATTTAAGTTGGGTCTATGGTATTAAGTAAAGAATGTAAAGGGCTGTGGGCTCCGCGCCCTGTTCAGAAGCAGCAGGACCAGTGGCATTGGCTGCTGCTTTGGCCTCTCTGCAGCCTGTGAAATGTTGAATCCCCAACTGTGTAGGTAAGGAGTTATCACTGGTATGTGGTTTTATGTTTGCTGTCAATAGAAAGAAACAAGTGGCAAGATTTAAATAAGCATTTTTTGTGAAGTACTTTTTATACATTGTGCTTTGACATTCAGAAAATGGCTGTAAACCCCATTATAGTCAATAGTTTAACTATTTGGGGTTTGTGGTGTGTGTTGAAGGTATTTTTTTCACAGTATGTTTTTTTTTTTTTTAAAAGATTGTCGCCTTAGAGGAAAAAGAATAACTTTAACCAGTACTACTTGGCTTGGTTTTATGTTTGTATTTGGAGAGAACATACCAAAAACAAAAAAAAAAATCAGAGCATGGTAAAATTACAGAACGTGAACTGTGTCGAAGAACAAATTAATTTAAAATCTGTTTGTAGTTTAAGTATATAAATGAAATGCATATCTTGTGGACTATTAACATAAAACAAGCAACCAAAAATGCGTATAAACTCAAGTTCTGTTTCCTTAGTAATTTTCAGTAAAACCGTTCCCAGAGGATTGGATAGAAACGTCTAGCCTTACATTTACTGTTGCAAATTCAAATTCAGGCAATGGTACTGGTAATTGAAAATAACATAATTGTTCTTTTCTGGCACAGATGAATTTAGCAAACAATCTAAATGTATTTTGCGGTGGACATACTGTTAAGATATATAACATTAAGATAACTGGCAAAAACCTGAAAACTCTTGACAGTCACAGCAAATTAAGGAACTTGAAGTTTTTCCACAAGGGCTGAAACGTGGTGAGCCTTTGTGTTTGAAGAAGCTTTTCCTTGAGTGGTGGGCTTTTTTGGTCTAATTTCCAAATAAATTCAAACCATTAATTTTTGTACCTTCCAGGAAAACCAGCATGTATTTAAAGCAATTCACTCTAATTTCATTTTGTTTCTGTATTATTTTCAGAAGTTCCCTTTTTCTGAGAGAGGCATTTTGTCAGATGTAATTCAGTGACCACATAAAAAGATTGTTTGAGACTTGCACACAGTCCACCCCCCCCCCCCCAAATCTGGGTGTCAGGAACTCCTTGCATTACTGTTATATTAAGAGCTTAAATCAAACTGCTTGTGAACTGAAATAAGATACCATTGTGATAATCTGTATGCTGTTAGAACGATTGTGGCTGCTACGTGTTCTCAAAACAATGGAGGGTCCCGATGCAGCCCTGGGGTTGCAAGGTGCTCACATAAATACCTATACCACTTTTAAAGATGCATTGGGATTTCCGTATACCTTCTCCTGGTTTTGTGTTCCTTTTTTGACAAAAATCCCAGCAAGGATTCTTTGTTTTCTTTCTCCTCTGACATGTGAAATTTTTTTTGAACTTTTAAGGAAAATTGCATTGGCCTCTTCCCTCTTCCCCGCCCCTTGATGGAGAGTGAAAGGCACTTCCAGAATTTAACTGAAGAATGGCTGATTCAGCTAGAAAATGCATGATGTTTCTAAGTAACCTTTTCTGTGAAGTTCTCTTTTTAGTAAGTAAAAGAGTTAAAGTTCAAAGTCATAATTAAAAAAATAATTTTTGACCATATTCAAGTGGGGGTTTTCTTGTTGGTTTTGGGGTTTTTTTGTTTGCTTGTTTGGTTTGTTGGTTGGTTTTGGGTTTTTTGTTTGTTTTTTGTTTAAATACCTGGTAGGTATACTCCCTCATCTAAAACCTTTGTGGTACTACACCACCTGTGTTGTGTCCTGGCTTTATTTGCTTGGGAGTAAGGTTGCTACTGAGGAATCCTGTAAATTAATAAATATCAGTCCTACAACAAAGCTTGTTTACATTTACGTGCTATGAGTGTGGAACAAATCATTGTTTTTTCCAGAATTAGCTTTTTAAAAAAAACACCACAGGTATTTTTTCTGTTACTGTTATCTCCTTAAGGATACAAAAAAAAAGAAGCAAAAAAGTTCATGAATTGAAACCTTTTTATTTGCATCTTTGATGTAAGAAGTCTGTCAGGCTAGTCACTTTCTAGTTACCTTTTTCTGGTATGTTTGTAATTCTCAGAATAACTGAGGAATGTGGGGTTTGGAAAATAGGATTATTCAGGGTCGTTTTTCTCCAATTCCAAGCTGTGCTTAAGTCCCACCACTTTCCACTTGACTTTCGATGGTAGTTTTAGGTACAGATCCTAATTCTCAAAGCCATTAAGTCTGTCAACTCAAGCCCCACATTTCACCCTACAGCTCCTTGCTGTAGTAGGGTTTCTCTTGGACCATGCAGATCAGACACCCTGTGACAGAACATAGGAGGTCTGAGGACAAAATGTCCTGCTCTGGGATGGTGGCGCGAAGCCAGAACTTCAGTCTTTGTCTGTCATCAGGAAGTGGTGCTAAGACTTCTTTTTTGCCAACTGCCCACCTCATGGAATACTTGGAATTGAAATGCAGCTTTTTAATTCCAAAACCTCCGCCTCCATCTTCCTAAAGAGAAATCCTCTCCCATACAATTCTGAAAGTATGGGAAGCACCAGGCCCTCCATGCAGCATGCTGGAAACTTTCTAGCTGATACTATATTAAAGATGTTTTAAGGCTGTAGGATGAAAACGCTAAAAATAAAGCTGAGCCTGGCCAGAACTTGTACTGCTAAATGTTGCTGTTTGCTGTGTTGTGTGTGTAATGTGTTTTTCCACCTGCAGAAGCGTTGGCTATACAAGTATGGCACCTAGGCTCTCTTATCTTCTTCTCTGGAGCGGAAGGGAAGGCAGGAAGACCCAGGAGTGTCCGTAACCATCCCCCAAACAGTTTTAGGGGAGTGCAGTGGCAGCTGACGGTGTACGAGAAGGGTAATGCGGCCGCAGAGCGCTGGTACTGGTACGCCCGACGCCCTCGCCTAATTAACGCGCACGGGCACTCGCCTTACGCGTTGATGGAAGCGGCAGAACCCGCGGCCGCCCGGGCGCCCTCCCCGCCGCCCCAGCCCGGGCC